AAATGTGCTAAAGGCGCAAAGGAAAAACTACGCACCGCGCCCAGTGTGTTATTTTTTGCGGAAAACCGCGGAGTTCGCTTGTTTCCTGTCCGCAGATAAACTTCCTACGGCATTCCACCTGGCGAAGCGCTTACGTGATTCATTTGTTTCCGTTCTGGCGCGCTTATTTGTGCGCGGCTGCATAGCCTGTCGCGACTAGAGCCATGTCCGGAGCAATTGGAGTGAATGGGCTCAATAGGGAGGTTGCCTTCATTGCGACGGCGTTAGATAACTCTCGTCTAGACTCCCCAAGTCAGGCGGTCGTAGTCTGCCGAGGTCTAGTGTATACACTTTACTAAGCACATTGTTTTTCCAGCTTTTGAACGTGCTAGTCCTGTTACTGTTAGCTTTGTAAAGCCGTAGGGGCCCAAATACTTGCTCAAGCGAAGCGAACCCATTTCCCTTCGCACAGAACGTTTCTTGCCCGTGTACGTCCTATTTTATTTCCCGTATTGTTCGTTTGGTCTTTCTTACGCGTAGGTTGTGTGTTAGCGAGCTCTCGCTTGACAGCAAAATCACGAAGGAAGGACTGAAAGCTAATTGTTTCAACCTATTCAAGATGCACGAATTGATTTTCACTTTTAACACTATTCTCGTATAAGAAACAGAAACGGTTAAATTAGTAATTAATGTTGATAATTGTTTAGTTATTATTAAGGAATATGCAGCAGGTCCTCTGAATGTGGTGACCGGATCGTGGGGAAGGATAAGTTTGATTTCCGAAATTGAAATGGCTTTTATTGGGACAGGTTTGAACATCGGTGAGAAAACTATTTGATATTACTTTCATCCATTTCGGGATTCGATTGCTAGTGGAAACATTCCATATAACTTTCGACAATTACTACAATAAGTAATGTATGTGAAAAATGTAAGATTCCAAACCTTGGCAAAATGGCGAACTAGAATTGGGCGCAAAATCTTTGCACAAATGAGGAATAATATTTTTTAACATAAATTATGTACTGAAGAAAGATATTTGCGTTGTCTAGAAATAATAAAAAATCCTCTTTCTCCTGTGATATTGACGTTCCACAACCTCCACTTACAGCATTAATGCGATCTGTGAAAACCTCGCTTCCCAGTGTTTGAATTCGACTTGTTAGATTCTTGTTACGTCGCTATTTAAATTTCCGCCTTTTGATATTACCGTCAGTCTTCCATTCCCACGCGCTGACACTTTCATTCACACATTTGACCTCCGCTTAACGTTAGTAGACGAAGTTGTGCACCAGAATTGAATGTGCACGACTTGGCAGAAATGCTCTGCTATGGGATCTTACGTACGAAAACAGCCCAATGGCTTGCGCCGAACCTTACAAGAAGGCAATATAAAGACCGCGTGTATTTTGGCACCGGAGGAATCGGGGCGCTGCCCCATTTCGCCATCTCGGCCAGTGGATCGTTGTTCAACCCAAGACATGCGGCGGCTGGCCTTTGCCAACGCGTTATATAAATATTAGCAATGCAGGCAAATTTAAAGACCGTCTCCAAGGGACCTCCGACAACGCAACGGCGCGCGAGGTGTGGGTGTCGTCACGGCGACGGTGGCGGCTGCGTCGATAAGGTCGAATTTCGTCAGAGCGAGGGCACCCGCGTCGCGTCGCCTCGCCGCGATCGATAGCCGCCGTCAGTCAGCTGTGCCGCCCGCACCGCCGTGGGCGGAGGCGGAGGCCGACGCAGCGCGGCCGTGGGCGTCACCAGCACCAAATTATTGGCGGGGAAGAGGCGATTCAGTAGTTAAGGTGCAGATTGAGGGGGAGTCCCCCACACAGAAAACCTATACAGCAAACAATATTGGAAGGACGCATCCCCCTGGCGGTGACTCCTATTCATTCTCCCATCATACGCGCTAAAGTTCGTTTCGAAGCGACTATTTTAGCTAACGGAAAGAAATGTAACAAGGATGTGTAGGGAAATTTTAAAAAAATAAATCCCAAAACCGTTAATCAGTTGCTTGAAAAGTCAGTTTACTATCAACGTTTGTGGTAAGTGACGGTACTGCAGGCAGAATTTTGCTTCGGCGGGAACTCGACTGAGGGTTTGACAGTAGTATATTTAAGGCTAAGCTGATGGAGAAGTTTCCACACACCAAATTTATTTCGCGGCCCCAGAATGAGAAGATTGTAGCTGGCATTTTTGGCGAAAATGTTTTGACGTATTCGAACATTATTGCTAATGCGAGTTATCGTATCAGATGTAGAAAAAACTTGAACCAATGAAATGGTCTAGTTTAATTTACATTTTTAGGTATCTTTATTACACTTCCAATCCTCGCAAAAATGTTTTCATGTAAAATTCCATCAATGAGATAGACCTTTCGTTTTGAGGCCACGATATTGCGAAATCCGGTCACAT